CCCGAAGACCTGGTCCCTCTCGGTAGGGTAACAAGGGAACGTGTTCAGTGCAGATCAGTGAGTAAGCACAAGCCCGCCTTGTTTCAGTACCTATGCTTAAACCCACCCTAATCAAGATACAGAACATCAAATCCTTTCTTATCTTGGAGATGTTCTCTTGAATTGTAGTTCTTAGTATTTGTTCTGTTCCCTTGCTTTGGTTTAATTCCTTAAGGAAACCTATTATCTTTATGTTGGATTTTCTCTTTCTATATTGAATATCTCTTACTTTCTTGTAAATCCTTTTTATCTCATTTTTTTTAAATTTCTTCTTCTTACCTTTTACTTCTTTCAAGACACATAGCTGTTGTATTTATTTGCTCTTGTGTTCTTTCTAGTTTACTCATTTCTGAAATAATTTCTTTTATTATTCTTTCTTGAGTTCTATCATTTCATGTCTAAGTTTTTCTAATACTGATTTATGTTTCATGTTCTTTCATGTTTCTCATTTTACTAACTATGTCTTTTAGCACATTCTGATATAGACTGTTATAGTTCTGAGTTGTTCTATGAGCATGTCTTTCTGGTGTGCCTTCATTATCTGTACTGCTATTACTCTGCTTCTTATTTTCTGTCTTATAATAACCACATATGGGATTTAACCTTGAAACATTTTATTCATTTTTATGTAAGATTAGTTTTCTTAAATGTTTGCAAGGGCATTTTAGAAGGAAGGTATTTTTTGTAACTTCACAAGGCTCCTTCTTGTGCCGTTTTCATGTAATGTTCAGAAATATGGCAGCTTGCTTCCTGAAATTTCCTGGTTCTGTTCCCATTCCTCTTTTATCTAATCCTTCTCTTCCATCACCATTGGCCCTATCCTGCATAATTTTGATTGTACACCCAACAGTTTCTCCTCAGTATGGGGCCAGTCCTAGCGGGAGCTTTGTCAAGTTAGTATCAAGAGTTCACAGGGGTTAGGCTGGTCAAGTTACAATCAAGAGTTTACAGGGGTTAGGCTGCTCCAGTCCCTTCAAACCTTACCAGGTGTCCATTACATTCACCTGCTCTTGACTATCTTAGGGTTCTCCTAGTCTCAGGCCTGTCAGATGCTCTGCTTTTCCCCACACATTTGCTGATACCATGCAGACTTCATAGCTACTTTGTGCTTATTCCTTTGCATGTGAGAATTTATATAGATGCCTTCCCATCTAGCTTTGTTTTAAATGTTATCCATGAGTTTTTAGATTTTCCATGTAAGTATTTTTTTTCTGTTTTTATGTTGGGATTTGGAAAAATTTAAAAACTATGCTACTTCCACTATCATCTTCCCAGAATGCCCTTACACCAGTCTCAATAGGCTGATTGTATCAAAGTACTAATGCTAAGGATGAGTGTGAAAAATATCAATTCTTTTTGACCCTATAACCCTAATTATAGAAATTTATCCTAAAGAAATAATAGAACTAGGTAAGTGAAAAAAAATGTGTGCACCTAGATGTTCTGCACTGGAGTGTCCCTTTTCTTCTTCCTTCCATTTTCAACTCCACTTTTAGTATGTGTCTTACTCCATATAGTATATAGAGTGTCCTGTCAAATCTGAATAATTGACTATATATAACTGACAAAGTAAAAGATATGGACCTTCAAATGTTGGTCCATAAATTGACTCTCCACCATCTCCTCTTCCAGCTTCTATATCTGAAAAATTACAATGAATAAAAACATTAGAATAAAATAAATCAGTATTGATACCCTGATAATGGTTTCACTTGCATTTTATATACACTTTTATAGTCATCATCCCATTTTCTCTTTATAATAACTCTGTGAGGTAGGTTAAATTATAATATACAGCCTTTGAAATGATGAGGTATCAAATTACAATTGTAGTCAAGATTTAAAGAAAGTGTGCATTTATACACATTCTACTTGCTTCCAAATGTATTCTATCAGCTGCTTGTTTTTCAGAAAGATGAAAATGTTAAACTGAGGGAATGAAATAGGAACAATAAATTCTTTTTAGAACATGAATAAAAATAAGTGTTCTAAAAAGAATTAATGTTCATGCATTCATTCCCTGGAGCCCTAAAGTGATAAGTCACTTATCTACCCAGCACTTTAGTAATGAATGAGTTAAAACTGACTCAATGGCAGTGGGTTTGGTGGGTTTTTGTGTGTGTGTTGGGGGGTTGACGAGCGTATTTTGGCTTAAGCAATGTCCCCACTATGAAAATCCTCCATGTACAAGTTCTTTTATCCATCTATAGCTAAAAGGAAAGCAAAGCTAACTCTAGTGAATATCGAGGTCTCTCAGGTCTGTCTTCTCTAGCCCCAGCCTCCCCATCAGTACCCATTTACTTCCATCAGCTTTCTAATCCACCACTTCCTTTATTATATATATATATGTGTGTGTGTGTATATATACATACACATATATATGTGTGTACATATATATTATATATGTATGTGTATACATATATATAAAACCAAACCCATTGCTGTTGAGTTAATTTCAACTCACAGTGACTCTCATTGGGTTTCTGAGGCACTAAATCTTTACTGAAGTAGATTGTCCCATCTTCCACAAAGTAGCCAGTGGGTTTGAACCGCCAACCTTCTGGACTTTTGGATAGCAGTTAAATGCTTTAGGCACAACAATACCAGAGCTCCTTTGACTTACACACACACACACCCCAAACCCATGCCATTGAGTGGATTCTGACTCATAGCTACCTTATACGACAGAGTAGAACTGCTCCATAAGGTTTCTAGGGCTGTAAATCTTTACGGAAGCAGACTGTCTCATCTTTCTTCCACAGAATAGCTAATAGGTTCGAATCGCTGACCTTTTTGATGAGCAGCCAAATGCATTACCCACTATGCCACCAGAGCACCTTTCTTTATATATATATATATATATATATATGCTTTACTATTCTCTCTCTCTTTCTCTCTCTCTCCAAGTAGGACAAACCTAGGTATAAGCATGCACATATATATATATATATAAACTCACTGCTATCAAGTCCATTCCAACTCATAGTGATGTTCATTGGGTTTCCAAGGCTGTAAATCTTTACAGATGAAGACTGCCTCATCTTTCTTCTGTGGAGCAGCTGGTGAACCACCAAGCTTTTGGTTAGCAGCCAAATGCCTTAACCATTATGCCACCAAAGCTCCTTTCTTTTAATATAAAACAAAGACCAAACTCACTGCTGTGGAGTTGGATCCGACTTATAGTGACCCCTCCTTGGGTTTCCAAGGTGGTATCACTATGGAAGTAGATTGCCCAACCTTCCTTCCGAGGAGTGGAAATCTGGGCCAAGATCAGAAAAATAAGGGGGTTAAGCAAGGGGATACCTGGCTCGGTGGGTTTGAACCGCCAGCCTTCTGGTTAGCAATCAAATGCCTTAGGCACTATGCTACCAGAGCTCCTTTCCTTTAATATAGTGCTCAATAAATACTTGTTGAAGAATTATGTAATTTCAACTCAGTATGAGTGATTTATCTATAATAAAAGTGCTTGTACTCTTTTTTGGAATCTGGTGCTTCAGCAAACTTGTAGACAGGATTTAGTCAAGGCAGAGCAAGTAGCATTTAAATTACACTATTCAGTAAGCTGGGTAAGAAGTAAACTGGTACAGAAGTTGATTGGTACACTTTGGCTCTTCAGCCCTATTCTACCCAATCCTTTCCCCAATTCATCCCATAGCCCTCAGCACCTCTTAGGAGGAAGGCTAAATCTGGACATGAGGAAAGTGAGTGTTCCCCAGCATCGATTCCTTCAGACTGTAGAGTCTGCTCTGCTCAGACCAATCTCCCACTAATTTATCTAATCACCAGTCACATGCCATGGCCCCATCTCCTCCTTCTCACACTCACTTACATTACTATTGCCCTTTGCTTCAGATCTCCTGAATATTTCATATTGATACCATTTCAATCAGGAGCTCTGGTAGCATAATGCCTAAGGCACTTGACTGCTAACCAGAAGGCTGGTGGTTCAAACCCACCAGCCACTCCTCAGAAGGAAGACGGAGCAATCTACTTCTGTAGTGATACCGCCTCAGAAACCCAAGGAGGGGGTCACTATGAGTTGGGTCCAACTTGGTGGCACATAACAACAACAACCACCATTTCAGTCACTTTTGATATTATTTTTTGTGGCCATAATTCATTCCCTTGAATTCAGCCTTGTACATCTGATATGATTTCTATACTTCTGACCACATATTCAGGGATACAGAATAGTGATTAAAAGAAGACTTTAAATCCAAATGACTTTATCTTAAATCTTGCCAGTAGTTACCCTTTCCAAGTTTTTTTCCTCGTTGATATAAAGAGGGATAATACAAAATGCCTCCTAGGCAGCTCTGAGTAGTAAATGAGATAATGTAGACAGAGCACTTAGTTTAGTTCCTGGCAGAGTATTATGCTCATTTATTTGTGGTCATTATTATTATGCACCATCACGTCCTGCTAATGGAATGTATCTTCTCATTATCATCACTGTCACCATCATTATGCTCAGTATGATAATGATAATAAAACACATTAAGCTATACAGCAAGACATGTTTCTGAAGACAGTAGGATTTCAGAGGCCACAGAGGGAGAATCAAACCACAGTAGTTTAAGTGACTTGCTGTCTTGTTAGAAGTTGTACTTCAGAAAAGAATAGAATGTATATGTATGTTTCCAGTTTAACTCTGTTCATCATTTCTTCATTCTTTCTTTCAACAGGTACCTACTGTATACCTACTCTAGAACCTGGGGATGCAACAGTGAACAAAACAGATAAAAAATCTCTTCCCTCATGGAGCTTATTATAGTCTAGTGAAGAGAGACAGACAATAAACAAATTAACCAAAAACACATAATAGTATTCCAATGGTGAAAAGTGCTATGAGAAAAATAAAGCAGGATACAAGGGACAGGGGAGTGGCAAGGGAGGAGCTGAGGAAAGGTGTGTGGAGAGGAAGGTTACAGTTTTAAACAGGGTGGTTAGCTAAGTCCTTGCTGAGAAGATGAAATCTGGGCCAAGATCAGAAACAGTAAGGGAGTTAAGCAAGGAGATACCTGGAGGAATACTTAGAGAATATGTCTCAGGCAAGGGAAACAATAGAAGAGGCCAAGGCAGGTAAATGCTTGGCTGTGCTCAAACACCAAGGAGGTCAGCGTGTGTGGAGCAGAGCGAGGGAGAAGGAGATGTCCAGATGAAATGAGGGCGCTGGGGTAGGCTGCAGATTGTGTTGGTCCTCTTGGTCCCAAAGGGCAAGCAATAGTGCCTGGAAGCATCCTAAGGCACCAACCAAACCACAGTTAGCTCCTGTGTTCCAAAATTCTGTACAGCCCTGTGGGAATCTGACGGCTGAAGGGAGAAGAATGTTTGTAGCTCAGCACTTTCAATACACCATGTCACTGAATCCTCGCCACATCCTGTGACATTATCATCATGACCCCCATTTTATGATTAAGAAATTAACTCAGAGATGCTAAGTGGCTTATCCAGAGATGCTAAATTGCTTATCCAGTTGTTTGGATTTGAATCTAGTAATCAGATTTTTTCTAAATTGTTCTTAACACTGTTGCTTCACTGTTATATAACGTCATCCAAGATATGTGCATTTTACTATTTAGAAATTTTACCATAAGTAAGAAAATAAATAAACGACCTACTTTCCTCAAATCTTGTTCTAAGTAAGCACAAGAAAACCAGAAAACAAACAAAAGAGAAGCCTAGCACATGAGAATCAACGTTGAACTAAACATCAGGAGATTGTGATACTGAGGATTATTTTATAATAACAAAAATTTAAAAGAATCTAAATAGGAGCTCTGGTAGCATAGTGCCTAAGGCACTTGACTGCTAACCAGAAGGCTGGCGGTTCAAACCCACCAGCCACTCCTCAGAAGGAAGGTTGGGCATTCCTACTTCCGTAGTGATACTGCCTCGGAAACCCAAGGAGGGGTCGCTATGAGTCGGGGCCGACTCAATAGCAAGTAACAACAACAACAACAAATGTTTACCAATGGAGAATTCATTTTATTGGTATAAGTAAAATGATGGAAAATGAGCCAGACATTAAAAAAAAACTTTTTTTTAATGTTTATTGACATGGGAAGATAATTACCAAATATTAAGTGGAAAAATAATGAAGTTAGATAATGGTATTTGTGATCTGACTTCATCTGGGGAAACTGAGGGAAAAAAGAACTGATTTATATGTTAAGATGTTTGAGATAAATCTACATTTTTCCCCTTATCAGCTTCAAAATGTTCCATATCATGGAAAAATAATTAAACATTAATTTAAACCTCTGTATATTTCATCAAGTTCAAGCAAATCACCTTCCACACTCAATTATTTTTAAATGGCTGTCTGATTGCTCCCTATAGATTATCTTCCAAAGGCCTCCAAAATTTAATTTTGTGCAGTTATGTAAAAAACATAACCACCTCTATGTAAAAAAAGGAGCTCTGGTGGCTCTGTGGTTAAGGCACTGGACTAGTAACTCAGAGGTTGGAAACTACCAGTTGCTCCGCAGGACAAAGATGAGGCAGTCTGCTTTCATAAAGATTTACAGCCTTGGAAACCCTAAGGGAGTTTGCTATGAGTTGGAATCGATGGCAGTGGGTTGGGTTTGGTTTGATCCTCTATGTCAAGTCAAAGGACTGACCCAAAAAGAAAGCAAAAACGTAAATCAAATTTTGGGAGGATCTTACTTTTCACTTATAACAATGGTGGCTAGCCATAAATATCTTTGGTGAGAAATAAGGGCACTGTATATTCTAGGTACCCATATTTAATGAGTATTTGAAATTATATTTTGATAAAAAATGTTATCCTGCCTTCTGCTATTACTTTTTATTTTGGAATCTTCCTGGTAACGTATTTTAGATTTATTTATTTTAATATTAGGGAATTTTTTTTTTAAAGAGTATGAATATCTTAATTTATCATCTGGTCACATAAATCCTTTAACTATATTACGTCTAGTTCTGCATGTATTTCACAAAAGTAGATAAAAATTTGTACATTCTTTTTTGATGTTGAAATTAAGTTATATTTAAGATTTTAAACTCACCTCCTCCTTGTAGCCAAGCATTCTGTACTAACCGATGAAAAACTGAATCTTTATAATGAAGCCTTAAGCCACTTTGAGACCATCCAGCCTTTCCTGTGCACAAGAACTGAAAATTCTTACATGTTTTGGGACATGTATCACAGTAGAGCTACAAAATAAAGATAAAAGGTTTCAGAGATTAAATATTCATCATTTTGTCATTTACAAATTTTGCCCAACTTACTAAACAACAACAAAAAAAAAACCTCTTACCTCAAAAACCAATCTTCCAATTGGATAATTATCAATAGCAATGTCCAAGAACACAAAGTCATGCTATTACAGTTGGGAGAAACAAAAAGATAGTGCTGGTCAAATTCTCATAAGAAAATTTAGAAATGACTAAAAATAAAGATAAAATGTTTTCAGTGGTAAGATTTCTACTGTAATAACTGAGATAATAGCAAAACTAAAATGAATGACTTAGAGAAGTTAGTTTCATTTTATTATATCAAGTCTTTTCAACCTAAATAACACACTTTTAAAAACTTCTCCATAGTGAAGCTTTGAATAACATTAACTTATCAAACAAGACTTGGAACACATGGCCTAGATAACCCCGACATGCCAGACTAAGTGTAGAAAGGAACACCAGTCAGTCCCCATGGGAAAAGAACAGACTGAAACTTCTCTTTTCTTTCCTGAGTAATTTTTGGGAAAGATCCATCATGACTGCTGTGGGTCTGGTTACTGTGTGTCCTGGATTTTCAGAGATCAGCTCACCAGAGCTGGGCTACATCGTTTCTGAGTGGGAAAATAAGGCCCCTGTTTCCATAGAACGTGTAGCACCAGGGGCAGGAAAGAGAAAGATGCTGTGCTTTCAAGTTATACTCATTAACATCCTTCTGTTCATGGATGCCCCCAGCTCTTGTTTTCAATTGAGATATCTACTATGGTAGAGACAGCTCACATTGTGAAACCTTGTAGCCTTATAAAGAGGCATCCAAAATTAAAATGTGTATCTTCATCCCAACAGCATTCATCTAAGGGGGCCAAACACATCTAGTGGAGGACATTTCAAACCTTAGGTACGGTACCATTTGCAAACATTTAAAAATGCCATCTTATTTTAAAAATAATTTATAAGTGCATAATTTGTCCTGCCTCATTCTTTATCATCTATGAAAACATAAATTAAATCACTTTTAAATATGTATCACTACTATTATTTTAAGGCATTCTAACTTTTTTTTTTTTCTTCTCAATTAAAAAACTGAAATAACATTGTGCTACCTGGATCTAGAGAAGGATATCATGCTTGGTAAAGTGGAGGGTCAGCGAAAAAGGGGAAAGCCCTCAATGAGATGGACTGACACAGTGGCCGCAACAACAGGCTCAGGTGTAACAAGCTCTTTGAGGCTGGTGCAGGACTGGGCAGTGTTTTGTTCTGTTGTACACAGGGCCACTGTGAGTCGGAGACAACTAGATGGCACCTAACAACAACAACACCTGGCATCCAGGAATAAACTACTACATTCATACTAATTATAATTAATTTGTTCCTGTCTTTCAGCTTCTGTATTACAACTTCTTAATTATAAAACAGAGTATTATAACTAAAGGATAGGAGGCATGATATAGTAAACTTCACAGGGCTCAGGAGGAAAAATAGATGTAGGTTGACATAATAATAAATGAGTAAGTCCATTTAGGCATCATTAAACCTCCCTGTACATCAATATATTCTTTATGGGTTATTGTTGTTGTTTGTTGCTGTTATGTGCTATCGAGTCGGCCCCAACTCATAGCGACCCCTCCTTGGGTTTCTGAGGCGGTATCACTACGAAAGTAGATTGCCCAACCTTCCTTCTGAGGAGTGGCTGGTGGGTTTGAACCACCAGCCTTCTGGTTAGCAGTCAAGTGCCTTAGGCACTA